AAATAGTCACAATCTGTTTTGCATCCTGTGATGTTACAGCTCTGTACACCCCATTCCTTATTGCTTTTTTTCTAAGTCTTGATTTTCTCTAAAACTCCAACATGTTCTGTCTTTCACTTGCTCCAGAATTTTATTCAATAGAGCTAGAAGGTCTTTTGCAAGAAAGCTTTTGCAAGAACATGGACTTCTGATTGTAAGAATCATATGAGAGAACAATTGTGTGCTAGAATTTTATGATGTCCAAGGACTGTTCACATCTAAAAATATTGTTTTTAAAAAAGGAATAGAAACAACTTCCTCAACTAAAGAAAAATAACTCCCCTCCAAAAACAAACAAATCTAAAGTGAGTTCATCCTTAATGGATGTAATCTCATTAAAGTGAGAATCAGGACATGAATACTTACTATCATTTCTAATAACATCTAGTCGAGATTTAAAATGTGTATCTCCTATCACCCAGTAATTTTACTCAAAAGATGAAATCCTTCAATATGTGTAGAGATGGTTTTATGAAAATGTTCCTGCTTATTTGTTTACAATAGGGAAAAATCAACAAGCAATATAAATGTCTACCAATACGACTTTAAATGAATAAAATGAAAGTAGTCTATTCTTTTGAATGGTTAAAATATAACTGTTAAAAGTAGATTTCTCTCTTAAATAAATATGTGTGCGTGTACGTGTGTGCATCATAAAGTTCATCTCAGTGTCATAATATTAATAAAGTGAAACAACCTAAATGACTACACATAGGAGTGTTTTAAATAAATGTAAAGAGTCAAGCTAAGATTCAAATTATAACTCAGAGTTTAGTGAGTTACTTGAAATCTAAGCCCTATGTCCCTCTCCTGAAGATTCTAGAGATTATAACGTGTGATTCACAGAGGATGAAGTGTGACATTGTCAGTAACCACTTAGCAGAGCTCCTGACACAATGTCAGGTGTCAGTAAATGGTTGGTTCTATCAGTAGTAGTGATATAATTCTTATTTTATTATTTCTAATTACAAGTCTAAATCCTTGACAATTTTATTTAGGTTCCATTTACTAGTTATCGTATGATAATAATGTTATTTAACTTTAAGTATAATATAGTATTTAAAATTTATGTAAACGTGTTTATGATTTATTTCATTGCTTTCATGTTCAGGTGAAAGGTGAGAATACAATCTTTCCTTTTTTACTTTCTTTCACTGTTCAAACAATTAATTTACCAGTCCCACTTACTGAAAAATTCTTTGATTCATCCATTTCTTTGCTCACATCTGTCACTCACTATATATTTATTCATACTTGGGCTTATGAGGCAGTGGGTTTATTTTGCCTTATTTTGATGCTTTATATGCACAATGGTATTTAATTATCGTGAGTTCACAGTTTAGCACTTAATAGATTAAGTTGCTTATTATCACTCACTTTTTTTAACAAAACATACAAGCTATTTCTCACCTGTCTGCTCTTCCACATACACTGCAGAATTACTTTCACAAGCTCTTGAAGCAGGTAGGAAAAGGAAGAGAAAAGGAGGAGGAGGAGAAAGAGAAGGCCCAGGAGAAGACGGAGAGGAGGAGAGGGAGGGATTGAAGATGAGGAGGAGGAGAAAGGGGAGAGGACGACCTTGAAAAGCCCGCACTAAACCTACAAAGTAGGTTGGAAAATGGTGGTATTTGTACATTACCCAGTTTTACCATCCAGGGACATGGTAAATATCTACAATATCTAAATATTTTTACGTATTTATTAGGTGGACAGTTTACATTAAAGTAGACTTTAAGTGTGGTGTCATGGTTTAAACCACTATATGAATGATAAGAATGAAAACCTGTCATTCTTGTTCATATGTAGTATGTCTCAGGTAACTGCAAACTTGAAACGCCCATCATCCAATTGGCCCCATAAGAACATTTTCCACTTTTAAATTATCATTTTGGAAGACAGGCAGTTACAATGATGAGGAGAAAATCTGACAGTAAAATATATTGGCATGTTCATGTTTATAAAACTTAGACAATCTGTGGAAAAAGAAGTTCACATGCCCACAAAAAGCAGAGCCAGAAGAAAAGAGTAGTGAGAAAATACACAGGCCAATTTAACACCAACTACAGGTTCTGCGTTAGAGCAGAGAATTGATGGCCAGCTCCTACATCATGCGGATGGTAGAAGCATATTAGATTGTGAACTCACTGAAGAAAGGCAAGTGGGGGCCACACAGGTCCTGAAGGGCTGCCAAGTATACTGAAGAACAGCGCCTGCTACACCGGCAAGTATAACAAGGTCAACCAGCGGATGCCCTGGCCCGACTGAGTCCCGAAGGAGCCACACCAAGGGACTAACTCCGTGTGCAGAGACTACCCACAGGGGATGCTAACTGAAAACATGAGTAGAGTCAAAAGAGGAAATGAAATAAGGAGGTTTAAGGCATTCATATAAATATATAAATCCTAGCACACTTGTTTGAGAATATTTAGGGCACTGACTGCCTACCTCTTGTTGCTCCTTCTCTCCTGGTTGCCTCTCACCTGGAGCCTGAGAGGTGGGACGTTCACAGCCTTGAGATGTGTGAGCTGACTTGGGACTGCAGGAATTGTACTGCTGTTAGTCCTGTCCCTTAGGAGCACCAAGGAGGACTGACAATACCCATCCACTGGAGGAGCTTGCAGGAAAGGATGTCAACAGAATCCACTTTATTTTTCCAGCATGGAAATAACTCAAGCTATTTAGATAGAAGGCAAGAAAGGATGCTAACACATTTTAGAAATTATAAGTTTGGCAAAAAGAAAAATTACAGAATTTGAATATTTTCCCTTGCTTTCCACTATATGCCATATGTTAAATTGTACATTGAATGCAGCTGACAAATTTATTCAGAGGACTGGACATGCTGCTATTATAGTGTCCTGTGGTAGCCTCAGTAATTGGACATTGAATCTAGCTAGAATTCATAACCAGTTACATTTTGCTGAGGGAAAATTTATCCTGGCAAATGGCACGATTTTTTCTAGCTAGAATACTAAAAGGGACGAGGTCCACCTGCATGGACAGCTGCTACTTCCAAGATTCTTTGCCAGCAGCCACGATTTAATAGAGTTGTGTGGACATCATGTTTGTTATTTTCCTTCCCACAAAAGCAAGAGGAGCTGGACTTGAGTTTTTTGCCTTGATTTGCTTTCATAGCTTCTATTACTTTTCTGGAAACAATACTGGGCAGTGTCATGTTATTTAGTTCTGGCCAAAACAATCTTTTGATATTCTATGAATTACTTATCTCATTTTAATAAGGCTTAACATGGAAAATTAACCTCCTATATATTCCTAATTAGTTTTTTAACGAATTTTAGCTTCTCTGTTAGGAAAAGATCTATCCAACTAACTACTAGGAATTTAGTCTCTATTACTGAAGCATATGACAACCAGCTCTAGGGAAGAAATGTCCTTGAGATGTGTGTGTGTGCGTAACTGCCGTTCTCAGAAATAATTCAAATACCAAATTTTTCCCTTTAATTCTGATGGCATACGGAGCTAGCATGATTTACAACTAATAAACGACTTTTATTATGAAATGCTCAGTGTCATGTAAATTATATGATACTTGGATACACTGAATTGCTTGCTTCTGCTTATATGCTTTCAATCAAGATTTAACAGAAAATAAAGGGCTTAATTAGAAAATTAAGTAATTAAATATAATTTTCTAAGTTAAGAATACACTGACTAGAATGAAACCAAGGGTATAGTATATTACCCAAACTGAAGTAAAAGAAATAATTTCAAACAATTAAGATATTACTTTAGTTAATGAACAAAAATTCATGGGATTTTCTTAGCTTACATTTTATAATATATGATAATATAATGAAATAATTTGTGCTATTAACACCCACTTTCTTCAATTATAGCCTACTTTTTCACCTCTCTATTAACCTAGTTTCTTGGGCTTTTCTGTAAAGAAAAGTTATTTTTTACATATTGAGTGGCTTTTCATTAACACAAGAAATAGTCTATACGTACGTTGTATTTAAATTTAAGGAATATACACTTTGGATGTACATTTTGGAAATATCCTGAACACAAAAGAATCAATTTGATATAAGGACTCCATAAGCACCATTTTATATAAAATTAGGCCATGTCAACTGCAAAAGCAGTTCCAGAATAAAGCAAGCAGTGGCCAGACACTTCATACACAGTGCCCACGTGAAAACTGAAGCCACCAGGATTGGGATTAACACAGACAGCTGAGAAAGAGGATTTGCCAACATATATAGTTAATGAGGAGCACATGTTTTGTTAAGTAAGGATGCATGAATTACCTTTCAGAAACTGAATAAAAAACAATAAAAGGAAAAAGTTCATAGGAATATATAAATCTTTTTCACCCAAAAATGAATAGCAAATTAATTTAAATATTTTGAATATAGTGATTATATTTTCTTTCAATTTGCCTCAAATATATGGAAAAATAAATGCTTTTTGTTAAATAGCTATGCACTCTATATAATAATAAACCAGCCACAAACCATTAAAAAAATACATATTTAAATGACCCAGATCTTCTGTAATTCAGTGTCTATCATTTCCTCAGCAGGTAAGGAAGCTGTGAAAGCAGGCTGCTTGCTGTCTGACACTTGACTAGGGTAGCATCTTCCACTGAGATGAGCTTGCAGGCCTTTCAAGCCCATGAGTTCATGGCCAAGAACTTCATAATCTGGGCCTCTGCTATATTTAAATACCCTTGAAATTATGTGTTTTTGAAAGGCATGTATATGTAAAACTGTCAGTCTCAGAAATGACTCATTTGAGGGACAAAGCTGCTTGTAATTCAAAAATGAATGAAATAATGTAACTACCCCAAGCAGTTTTCAGGACGGCAGGATGGTGGTCAAACAGACAAAGAAGGAACTTGTTACTCTACAAAGCAGAATAACAAACATGCCATAAAGCTGCAAAAAGTTCTGAATAAACATAATGGGAGAAATATTTGATCATTCATTTCTGACTAGGGGCTGTAAGAATTACTTCAAGCAGGAGATAATAATTCACCTGGATTGCACACAGAGAGACGCGTAAGTAAAGAGCCTTTTGACTTAGAGATAACAAACACCAAAGTGTAGAAAACTGCAAATATATAATACACTGTGGCTTAAATATGAGATGTATAGAAGAATATGTTAGAAGACAAAATCATAGATGACATAAACAACGTATCACCAGGAAATGGGTTACAACTGGAAAGTTTTTTTTACAAAGTAAGTGACACGAGGAATCTCTATTTTTCAAGACTCTGTTACAGTTGTGTTGATGTTAATAGAAGCAGATGTGTTCAAGCAAGGAATAACAGAGCAAGAACCTTGATGCTGCAGTAATTAAGGTGATGACAATGATGACGGTGATGACGGTGGTGATAGTACTGGTGATGGTGACAGTGATGGTGATGCCGGAGTTAGAGATGTTAGGAACCTGCAAAGCAGTGACTACTTATAGAGTTCTTTGTATGTACCAAGAACTTGCTAACATATAATGTCAATTACCTCTGATCTTAATAGCAAATCTTTGAGGACAATTTATCTCCCATAGATGAATAAGTGAGCCTTGTAAGAATTAAATAGCTCTCCTAAGGTCACATACTATCAGAGGCCAGACAGGAAGGCAGGTCTGTAAGGCTTCACAGCCCACACACTTAGACTTTCACCACAGTGCTTTCCCTTAGTCACGGGAGGGGGACACACACTGTAGAAACCAAGAGGATGTAAGGAGGAGTTTCCAATCAGAGCTTCAAGTAGAATCGAGCAACAAGTAGTATAAATACTGTAAACAAACACAAACCCAGTAATTTCAGAGGGCAGTGGTGACGTTAGAGAACAGGTAGTGACCATGGAAGCCAGACTGTAAGGACGGAAAGGCTGGTGGAAGCCTCCTGGAGTTTTCAGGGAGATAAGGTGTTATTTGAAGGAGGAAAGCAAGATTAAAAGAAAGTTATTTTAAAAATTTTTCTGTTTTGCTTATTACAGTAGGAAAGTCTCAACGATCTTCAGGGCTTCCAGCAAATGAGCTGTCAAAGGTGAGAAGGAAATTTCAGGAGCATTCGGGAGATGAGGGGCACAGCCCTGGAGAAATGAAACTGTGTGATTAAAGGAACTGGTGGGTAAGACGGCTGAAGCCACAGATTTAGAAGCTAAGGCATTTTATTTTCAAATCACTGGTCAGGTAGAGAATGAATCTTAGACTAAGAATGAGTCAGGCCGATGGGGTGGAGAGAAGGGAGCTGCCTGGACTCACACTCTCACTTCAGAGGTTCTGCTCAGCAAAAAGGCAGCGACCAAGAAGGAAATCAATCTTTTTGTCAAAGTACAGGCAGATGGAAAGTCCACATAAAGTCAAGGGAGGTGAAGAAAACCTAGCAATGGGGAAACAGGGAGAGAGAATGCTCATATGTCTGGGCAGGTGGAGAAACACATCCTTAAATTCAGGACGGGTCCAGGTCAAGAGAGATTACGGTCTGAAAGGGGCTGCACATATCTTCTGATAAAGAATGGACAGAAAGGGGGATGGCTGTACAGCAATTTATGACCAAACTGGAGGAAAGCTGACGTGATTCTCAACAGTGGTTTCTCACTGCTCGGAGAAGTAGGAATCCAGGGACGTGCAAAAGAGGGCGTGAAGGTGTCAGAGGAGCCAGAAGACGTGGACCAGCCATTCTGGGGAAATGAAGGCGTGCCACAGCCATGAGAAATGGAGCTGGTAACACCTGTGGACTCAGTGGAAAACTACGCGGCATTTTACAAACGGAAGGCACAGGCTATGCGATTAAATGTCCATTATCACACTGCAAGAAACACGAGACCCAAACGATTTTAATCACCCATGAGTGTAAAAACGTGTTCCGTGCAGAAGCAGTATGTCTAGAAATATTAGGGTACCCGGGGCTTTGAAATGAAACAGCCTCAGTTCCTTGCGGCAACCTCCTCCAACATTAGAGGCCACATGACAACGAAACCACCGCGAGCTCCATCTGGTCTCCGCCTAGCACGGGCGGCTGCGCACGCCCCGAGGGGCTGTTTTGGATTGAATATGGCCTGCAGTACAGTGCGCACCTGCATACAGGAAGATGCTCCACGGCCGCTCTATCAAACGGATTTCCAAAACGAGGCTGTGCTTTCATCTGCTCCTCTGTGTCTGTATTCGGGCAATCACTGTCTTCCACAGTCTAGCGTTCTCTATTCCCCCTGCACACACTGTCCCCCCTGGATTTACAGTGCTCTGTGTATGGAGAGGGAAGTACTGTATATGCTTGAAATATTATCTTATTAAGTTGTTTTAGTTCTTAGTTCTCATACCCATGGGGTAGATAGGAAGGAAGCAGTGTTATTTAATTATAAAGTAACTCTCTCCTTAACGAAACACTTTAAATTATACCAGGGCAATGTTTTCACGGGTGGTATTTAAATGGAAGTTAGATACAGCTGTCTCCAGGGCACTCGTACTCTGTCCTCCACCCTTAATTTGACCTGAAGACAGCCCCCCGAGCTCAGTTAGCTGGCTGGTGAAGGGAAGGGAAACATGACAACACACCCATTAATCGGACTTGGAGAACACATATATCAACGTTTTCTAAAAGCTCTAACGGGGCCTGGAAAAAGGACGAAGGGTTTTTACGCAACATGAGAATTATCTTCCTTTAAGATGCTTATTTTTGAAAAGAATTTTATTTTAGGGGAAACTTAAACAAATCGACCATGTCTACATCAGAAGATCGGCACAAAACACCATTCACCAGAAAATAGAAAGTCTTAGGCGCCATGTTACCAAGCCAACGCCCAGAGTAAATTCCTTAGAGAAATATTTCCCCTGTGTCTGCAACCTTTCCTCTTCCTGACAGCCAAAGCATTCAGCTCCTGCTCTTCTCTCTTCCATCATAAATACTTTGAATCTTTTTTCCATCTTGCGGTTTCTTCTCTTCCTCCTTCAAACACTGAATTTCCCTGGGTTGATCTCTGTTCCCCGCAGATGCCTATCATCAACTGATCTTCCTTTCTTTCAGGTCTACATCAAGCTCATCCTTGGCAGCTGGCCTTACCATCTAATTCTCCAAGAGAAATCCAGACAGACCTTCTAATCTATCCTGAGCACACTCGCGGAGCTGCCCTCCACTGCTGTCAGTAACTCTGCTCTCTCTCATCTTTCTCTCCACAGTCAAAAAATAGAGACGGCCCATCCTGCTCGGTCAGGCCAAACCACCCGGACACCGACCCCCATCTCCTCCTCCTGAGGTAGCCTTTCACTTACCCTTGTCAGCGGCAGCATATCTGCTGTCCTATTTGTCTGGGTCCTTCCTGTATATCTTTAAACATAATAATATCAACAAATAACCTGGAGGAAAGACCATCCTCTACCCACAAAATGTGCTTGAGCCTATGGCTCATTCATGGAGAGCCATTGCAGGACTCTCAGTTCCACTCTCATCTGGCTTCTGCTCCCATTACTCTGTGTCGAATGCAAACATGTTGATAGATCTGTTCAACCACAGGCACATGCAGTCACACATGCACACAGACTCATACGGACAGGCATGCACACATCCCATGTTCTTGGGATGCTCTTTCCATTTGACACTTACATTCGACTTGTCTAGTTTTCCTCCAATACGTTAGATTCTCTGCCTGTTTGGCTGGCTGTTCTTGCTCATGATATCACCCATGTCTCCCGTGCCGATCCCATACCCCTTCCATTCAAGAATATTGCTCCAGGCTCGGTCCTCAGTCCTGAGCTCTGCATCCTCAGTAAGAGCATCCATGTTCACATTTGCAACTTCTCAAACGGTGGTTTTCAAATTTCCCTCTGTTTCCTTATTCTCCACACCCAACATGTAACATCCCATATGTAAGCACTCTTATTAAATCAAGAGAATATCATCTAGATTTAGTTGGAGTTAACTGAGCTCAGGAACGATGTCTTCTATTTCATACTCTTTTTATTCCTCAATTCCCCTGAAACAATACTTTGCAGGTAGTGAGCATTCAACAAAAACTTACTGACCATCTATCAGATGCCATGTTAAATGCTGAGAAGAAGAGAACACAAACACAATAGTGTGCATGCTTTCGGGGTCCACCGGCAAAGGTGCACAGTGTGAATGGTCCGGTAGGTGTGAGCGTAGCACGCTATGTGAGGCAACAGGAGAGAGGAAGGCCGCTCCTCCGCCTTCTTGGTTCTCAGTTACACTCAGGATCACCCTTATCCAAACTCGCTGACCCTCTGACTGTCTTAGTCTTTGTGATTCTCTCCCTTAACCAGAGAGCTAGCGGGGAAGGAAAGTGTTCCAAGACTAACAAAAGTCTGATTTTCCTAATCCAACATGGGGATAACATGGTCTATCCGGCCTAACTCGTGATTAACATGAGGATCAAACATGCACTGCACCGGAGAGCAGTTTGTACATTTTTATCCTTAGTTTTAATCTCTGACTTCCAGAGAAAAGTTAATCCTGCTTCCTAGCTAAACGAGTGACCCAAAGCACGATGTGACACTAAGCTCTTCCCCCAGGGCCCGCTCTTCCACAGAACCCACGGCTTCTCTGGATTTATAGCCCTTCATATTCTCAGCTGTTACCGCAGATAAATAGCACAGCCTCTCTGGATCCCAAAGTCCTTCTATTTAAAGTGATTTAATTTCAAATCCCATTTTAAAGTGACCTTGTGCTTTTAAAAATTGCATCTCTGATAGTCGAGCAATATTTCCAGCTTGGTACCCTTCTAAGACCTCAAACCCAATTTGTCCTGTTGTCTTAGGGATACACCAGCCCCTCTGACCAGAACCAGGCTGGTCCATGACATATCATCATAAAACGCACCAGGTCAGTAAAAACGATTTTTCTTTGCTTCCCATCAGTTACTGAGATTATTTTTACAATGTCTCTTAAACTCTCTCTTCTTTGTATTCCCATATTCTCTCCCTTCTATGGAGGAAGTCACCTAGACTAGGATAATTATATAGTAACTGCTCTGCTTGCTTTTGGTTTCTACTGTCAAGTCAAATAATGCAACCTTAATTATAATTCCCCAAATCAACTGCTTTCACATCAGCCTTATATTTAAAAATCTCCATAGGCATCCCTTGCCAGAAAGATGAGCTCCAAACTCCTCTGCCCACCTTGCCCATCGGATGTCCTGCCACAGCCCTGTGGGGTTCCCACTGCAGACCCTGAGAAGACTCAGGCCATGTCCTCTCATCCTTTTATCCACCTTCTCTCCTTTTCTTCCTGAAAGGCCCATCTCAAGTCCACTTTTGTCCAAAGGACTTTCTAATCAATCTTGTTGGACATGTTTCCAAATTTGACAATTATTGGCAGACGAAGCCTTACATTGTCACTGATATTTTTGGGCACCAATCCTATTCTCCCTCTAAGGCATGGATACTCTATTCTTATCACAAAGGTTGGTGCCTTTTCCGCAGTAACTCTTTTTGTTTTTGAAGAAAATGCTGATGAGGTGTTGTCATCTATCCAGGCTCAGGCTGTTATCTTCCACAGGTACCTCTGTTTCACGTGTTCTATCTTAAACACCATCCCTGTTGAAACTGAACACAACCCCTTTACTTTCCATCAGCAGCTTCTTAATGATTTTCAAAGCCACCTCCATACTCTCATGGCCCAAAGCCTACTGGAGTCTTTGAAATTAATTTGCTTCCAATTTCTCCCATCACTAAAATATTTTGCAAGTCTATGCCAGATTTACTCAGTAAAAAATGAGTTTTATCAATCAAAAGCAATTAATGTGTATAATGTATGTGCCTGCACTCCTGGAGCAAGAAATTAAATATTGCCTCTTGAACTTAACTGCCACAGCTCAGTTTGACACTCAAGAGTGTTCATCAATTTGACACATGTTCTCATCTCAAATATTTCTCTTTATTTAGTCTATATATTTAAGAGACTTGTTAATGTACGTCTTTATATTTCAAGAGTGTTCTACCGCAACTGAAAAGGCATTACCTTTTTTGAGCTAAGCCAATTCCCATAATCTCTTAACAAGTTAACTAATTCCATATCCCAATTTTGATGTCTTGTAATACTTATAATGCCTTATCTGGCAATTTGTTTACATACTACTTATAAATCACTTCAAATTTTCATGCACAAATTTTTAACCAATGAAATCATAGATTCATGAAAAGCTAGAACTTTTGTTATAAATGTCTTGTAATTTCTACAGGATCTGGCATGGGCTCATGTGGAATGAATAGCCAGCTAATGATAATTCAATTAAACTGACAGAATTACAGGAAATATATAATTAGTACCCAGTTATTCATATGACTACATCGCATCTTCAGGGTGCTGTATGTTACACAGACAGAGGATTTAGAATGGTGTCACCCACAGAGTCTGTGCTCAGAAAATAATCACATCTTCTCAACAATTAAAAACATTGTAATATGTCCTCTTCCATTATGTTCTCTCTACATATGAAGGGGATTTTCTAGCAGCGAATGGACTCTAATTTTGACAATGGCTACAAACAGATGGGGGAATGAGGATAGGATTGGATTGTGTGTTCTGTTTTTCTTTTAAACCATCAGCTTTTCTTATTTCTCTACAGGTTGTATTTTGAATTATTTGAGTGCAAGATGCTTCCTTGATATGGCGGGAAATTTAATGTCTTTTGGTTATGTAAATGTGTTATAATACCTAGGAGACAACCATTTTGCATCATAATCTATTTTTAAACAGTTTCTTCCTTCCTCCATGAACTTACAACTCTGCAGTTTTATTTTATTTTATTTTACTTAACTACAGGCTGGGCTGTGACTGGGCAAAAGGGAGCCGAGGTGGAAACATGTTTTCCTCTGCTTGGCCTTGGCGTAAGAAGGGCCGTGGGGCCGGGAATGGGGGAGGTGGGCATAAACTGCTTGGGAGTGACCTGGGTGCAGAGAGTCATCGAGAGGAGATAAAATGGCCTATGAAACACAGTAGAAGACAAAGCAATGAGTGCTCAGCAGGACAAGTCTTGTCTTATGGAGCCTGAGAGCAGTTCTATCTAGATCTGAGTCGTGGTCATTGTTGCCTGGGTCTGGCATTTTCCATAAGTACTGTTAGTTAGTAGAGCTTGGACTTCGCTCTGCTCTGAGAGACAGGCTTGGAGGAGGTGCAGTTCTGGTGGAGGAACAGCATCCTGGGAGAGGGGAGCTGTGCTTTCTTTTGAGGAGCCAAAGACAACTCCTAGAGGATGAGGACAACAGTCTCAGCAACCCAGGGCAGACTGGAGGGAGAGGTGAGAGCTTGCTGGGACTCCCAGAAATACCTGGGAAGGGAATTTGGGAAGGACAAGATTCCTGCAGGCTGAGATGTAGACAACGGTTGTTGAGGCAAGGCAGAAGTCCGCAACATTTCAGTGAAGTGCTTTACAACTGCACAGTTTTCCTGGCCTATGGGATACACATCTTCCACCAACCTGCACCTCCCCTCCTCAGCCAGCACCTCAACCCCACCCCTGCACTGGTCGATGGGAGGTTTTGAAACACAGCAAGAGAGGTTGTTAAAAATAAGGCAGAAGTGAATGGAAGTCTTTGCAGAATAAAGAAATTATCGTTAAATGCCAGAAAGAAAAAAAAAATGTGTGAATAAAATTGTAAGCAAAGATAAAACTACAAATTAATTGAGCATTTTCTTTTTATATTTTGCTTCAGTGCAAATACACAGAAGAACTACATTTGACAACATGGAAAAATAAGGGCTAATCTATTCAAATTTAGGGATTCATTTATTCACGGGCTCTAAACAACGGGAATAGAAAAACACTGTTCTGAGGCAGTCAATACCATGTTTGCCCTATTTTGATTGACCCTCTTCCACAAATTCATCTTCTACTCCAGTCACATAGATTCAAAGTGTGTGATCAACATCAGGTAGTTTAGAATCATTCAAATCTTTCAAAACTACTCAGTGATCACAAGAGGACTCACTGTTTAACAAAAGACCCTTAACATAAAATATTCCAAAACTGGCTACTTCTTTTTAGAGCAATAGTTCTTGTTCCTTCCACAAAATATGCAGATACTGATGTTTGTGGCAGCAATATTAACTGTGGAATTTTAATAAAACGGGTTTCATGATATAGCTGCTAAAACTTTAATGTAATTTTTTTTCAATTATCCACTATGGTCACAAAATGGATGCTCTTTAATCAAGTATTCTGGTTAGCATAGAGATATTGCACGTGGCTTACCAATTATCCAAGAATTAGAATACACTAAAATAGTTAACTCCTCAATTATTATAAATAATTTAACTTTCCATTGGTTCAGATTGCGCTCTGGAGCTTGTGTCATTGTAGCATCGTACGTGTCCACCATGTCTGTGTGGATGTGTAGAAATGCTGCCGAAAAGCCCAGGCACAGAGGGCTCTGCTCTGTTTGACTATTTCGACTTATCCATCAGCAATGACACCCTTGATTTAGAATGCCAGACTCCTCTTTTATGTATTCTGCAACTGTGCCATGGTTATTGCTGCAAAAATGTTAGAATAGGTAATCGTAGTGATTAAACCATGGTGATTTATGAAATTTAATAACTTTTTTCCTGACAGCCAGTGTTATTGGACAGATTCACACTGACATAAAACTTAATCATGATGTAGTTATTTGAAACCACTTTTATTCAACATTACAATATGGGGCTAATTTACATGTGATATTGCCAATGAAATACTAATAGTGCTAATGACCATTTTTGCTAAATGGTAATATGAAGGCTGTGGGCATTTTGTTGCCAAGAAAACTCTCAACTAGATAATTCTGATTATTTCTAGGTTTCATAATCTTCCCTAAACTATTCAAAGATTCTTCTATCTTACACTTTCATATCAACCTTCTTGCCTAGTCTATCATCACTGCCAAATTTGCAAAGGCGATTGGCTCAAATGATTCCACTGATAGTACTTAGATGAATTACACTAAAGTATATGGAAATGGTACATTCAGTTTCTGAGTCAATTCTAGGAGATTCCTTCTGTTGCTTGAGAATGTATTCTATAGGTTCAAATGGATAAAAATAATACTTGATTAAAAAGCACATCATCTGACTACAGATTGCAATAAAGAATTCTGAGTCAATTGGTCCATTTCCACAAGCTCTGCCATGAATAGGAATGTTATATAAATGTTTGCCTTGAGTGATTTCACTCCTGCTGCTGCTCACCACACATGCATGGCTGATTCACTGCTCTCTGAGAAGCAAGGCAGAGGGTCACATACACGTGAGCCTATTTTTCTGTCCACAAAGCCAGAGTCTTCATTCAGATAGGCTATTTTTACATCAAAAGCATATTTTTCACAAATACATATTTATACATAAATAAATCCACTCATTACATGTGATTGTATAATTTAATTCACTGAAGTCAATTTCATTTCCTATTTCCAAAGGGGCTCACTGCCTCTGGTCACCTGAACCCCACCTAAGCCATTGCTAGCATGGGCTGCCTTAAGGTAGCGACCTATGGAAGCTGTAAGGTGGCTCTAAACCTGCTGCTTTTATGACCAATGGGTTCCGTCCAAAAGACACAACACTCAATACCAGAGCAAATTCAACAATCCGCAAGGGAAAACGAATGGACTACGGGACTAAGAACATACAAGGAAGTATTAGAGGATGTGAACATCGAATTATCTTCAAAAAGTATTAAATAAAATTAAAATGTTAGTTTAAAAGGACTAGAGAGTCAAAAAAATTACTAAATAAATGAATGCTTTCAGAGAGTCTGGAAAAACCCATATTAGAAAAAAAATAAATAAAAGAGAGAAAGCCCAAGGGTAAAGAACAAAACGCTTTGCTAGAAATGGGGAGTGAAAAAGGAGAACAGTTTTACAGCCCAATAAAGAGGATGCTAAAGGGCCACTGAAAAAACATTCTTGTCACAGGGGACTGTGCTGAGCTCTATTAAGACACGAGAAATAGGATTCTAATTACAATGTAGTCGTATGTACTATTAAAACCCAATTTATTTGATTATATAAAAATTATAAGCATTTCTATAGTGAGATTCTTGCTAAACAAAGTTTCAGAAAGGATTCTCATACATCAGTAAGAAGACAGCAACAATCATAATAAAAAGGGAGAAGTTGGCTAATGACATGAACAAGAGGTATCCAAAAAAATACAGATCACTAATAAAGATAGGCAACGATTGTCATTTCACTAGTAATCAAAGTACATTGAAATAGTAACACGATACATTAAAAATTATGCTAGTAAATATTTTTGGTTTTATATAAATTATTTAAATTGATATTATCCAGTGTTGGCAAGGCTATACTAGAAGGGACATTCTCAAGTTTTAGGGAGGCTAATTTACAATACTGGTTTGTAAAAATAGAAAAAAGGTAAATATTCATATCTGTGATCTAGAATTCCACTTATAGGAATGCATCTGTGAGAAAATTTGTACAGAGTTGTTCATTGCAGCAGTTTCTACAAATAAATGTGCCCATCAACAGAAGAATGGCAAAGGGCGACTGGCAAATGCTAAGATGTCAATAACTGTAGCGTTATCATCATCATCAGCATCATACTTACAAACTGTAACAAACAGACACAGAAGGAGAGTTGTTATATCATGAAGTGAAAAAAGCCAGCAGAGGTCCCAAATAAATAATAAGATCTCACGGAGGAGAAACAGTAACTAGATGTGTACACACACACCATGTATATATATTTATAGGTATGTTCTAAATTCATTTCTAAATATGTATCAATAGACAAATACATAGATATAAAGATGTACACATAAATATATATAAATGACATTTATGCAATGCACAAAAATCTTGTGGAAAAGTTTTTTTATTGTGATTAAGAAACATAAAATTTTACTCAATTGTTTTTAAGTGCACAATTCATTAGTGTTAAGTGTATCCACATCTTTGTGAAACATCTCTAGAACTTTTTCATCTTGCAAATCTGAAACTCTATACCAATTAAAGAACCACTGTTTCCCGCTGTCATCTTTACCAAGTCACCTTCCAGAGAATGAACTTATTTCTGAGAGGGAAAGGATAGACAGTGTTTTCATTTTTCTCTTTCCTCTCTGTCAGAGTCAAGTGCCAGAGGAAGCACAACAGCTGCCACACTAACTTTTAATGCAGATCTTCTGTCACTGGAAAGTCTCGAATCTTCATTTAGATACTTATGTTGAGACACAATACACAAACAGTGTGCCTAATTAGAGCTTGGGGGATCTACAGTGTACGCGAATTTGAAACTATTTTACATCATGAAGAAGCTACTTGTTAGCAATGATTTGTGATAAAACTGGGGGAAAAATAACACAAGAAATTTATTTTCTAGGATTTCTCCAAAAGTCAGTTGCAAAGCAATAGTAGTCAGTGAAAGAAATCACTAACTCATAATTCTTATAATTCTTATTTCTAATCCTTTTAAACTGATGATTAAAAGAAATCACTGAGGCTGGCCTGGTGGTGCACTGGTTAAGTTCATACATTCCGTTTAGGCGGCCCTGGCTTCACTGGTTCGGATCCCACGCACAGACATGGCACCACTTGTCATGCCATGCTACAGCAGGCATCCTACATAGAAAGTAGAGGAAGATGGGCATGGATGTTAGCTCAGGGCCAGTTTTCCTCAGCAAAAAGAGGAGGACTGGTGGCGGATATTAGCTCAGGGCTAATCTTCCTCAAAAAAAAAAAAAAAAGAAAAAAGAAATCACTGATTCTTATAATGCTTATTTCAGAGAAGCTGTTGCTATGTTGTTTTCTTCACTTTTTTTACACTAAATTCTTCATACAGGTATTTGCATTTTCAGTCATTTGACTGAACTTTCGACAAGGGAATGGGGTTCAAAATTTTTATAAAATTTCTCATGTTCTCCTTCTTCCCAAAGCAACATAGTCACTCCTGAAGGATGATGAGAGAATTTTCACAGTCAGCTAAAATATTCTAAGAGAAATAATGTAAAAAAAGGAAGATGGGAAAGAACATATATATATATATATATATATATATATATATATATTTTGGTGAGGAACATTGGCCCTCAGCTAACATCTGTTGCCAATCTTCCTCTATTTTGTACGTGGGACACTGCCACAGCGTAGCTTGACAAGCAGTGTGTAGGTCCGCACCCAGGATCCGAACCTGTGAACCCTGGGCTGCTGAAGCGGGAACATGTGAACTTAACCACTATGCCATGGAGCCAGCAAGGAAAGAATTATTTAAAGAATGTTTCATCACAAGCAAATTATTTTTAGGCTCTAAGGAATTAACAACAGGAATTCAAAACGCTCCCTCAATAAGGCAGTTTGATATCAGATTACTCTGCCATGTGCATGACGGGAAAGGCAAGAGGACACCCTGTTAAGAAAGCCAGACAGCCTGTGGTCAAACACCAACACCACCACCTGCGAGCTGTGCGACCTTGGGGAGATTACTTTATCTCCTCTGCCTCAGTTTCATAATCTGTATGATGTGGATAAAAACAGAACTTCTTAGAACACCAAATATTTTACTTTTTGTGATAATCCAGATCAGCTTCTCAATTCCCTTAGCTAGAAAGCAGATTATGGTCCACATGACAGAGCTCCAGGGGCGGGAGTGGGGTCCTATGAAGGATGGACTTGGCCTCCCGACTATGTTTCACTTCCCACAGACTCACTTAATCTTTGTTAGGAGAGCAGGAGAAATGGAAGAAAACGTTGTGTCCCAATTTAAATTCCATCAAAAATTACTGATGATCTTCCCTAAATACACTGAAACTAGTTTCCCAAAACGTATGGATACAAGTAAACATTATGTCTTACTAACACAAAATATTGTGAGGATAACTTTGCAACAATTGCCTGCATATTTTAAAAATAAAAGCACATGCAAAAATTAACACTGTCGCCCATAAGATGCCACGGTTCCTAGGAAATTTATGATTCATTCTCACTAGCCCACTTGAACGTTTTTAAAAGAGTGTATCTACTTCTCACCTTATTTCTCTGCCATATTCCCACCTAAGGTAAATGATACAAATTGATGGGTTTTTAAAAAATACATTTTAATTATCCACAAGAATATTTTTGTTTGTTTTTTGTTGCTATTTATTACTTTATGGAATAACATAACCAGGGCCCTCTGAAGAGACTGTGCAAGCACACAACACCATGTATGATAACAAGCAGCACAGACTTCCACTGACCAAACTATACACTGAGATTTGTTTTGAAAGCAATTCTTTATTGATTAGCCAAGAGCAGTAGAAGCAGAAAACATTTAATGGGCCCAATCAAGTGTACAGTTACCGAAAAAACAGGGGTTCCAGAAAGCTCCATGTAGATCTACTACTTCTGAATAATTGGCATTGATCTCCTATGGTCGTACTCATCTTCATGAATATTGTTGAAGTATCACCTGAAAATGCTAAATGAGCATCTCCCTCAACAAGCTACAAACTTTTGCTACCAGTAGTACATAAAGTCGAACAAATGCAAAGAAAGTTAGTTAAAACCAAGCGGGTGAGATAAGGAAACTAAATGACTACTGAGCAGTTCAACTCTACAGTGAACCGCCAAGGACGGCTGATGTCTGTTAATAATTAACCTACCATTTGAATATGTAAACGTATGTGGATTGTATTCAGTAATATGTATTTTTTAAAGATAAGTCAGAGTTAAGAAAGGAAAAGTCACTTTCTTACTCAACTATTCCACATCTCCTTTCTTTCTAGACCTTCGATAACTCCAACCCTCGCCTGCTGCTGAGTTTATAATCACAAAATATAAATAAGCAGAATACAGTTTCCAAGGGCTCTCCCTGCTTAATGACCAACGATCTGTATCTGGACCTGCAGACTCTGGGGTCCTTTATCTCCCTCCACGTTCCCATCTGAAGAAAGGCCCTCCCACTGTGCGCCAGGATCCATCCTCCTCCCAGCCCCTTAAGGGCAAGCTCTTATCCTCTTGGTTCCTTATCATCGAATTTTTCCTCTCTACAGAATAACTCTCATCAGCCTATTAAAGCATGCTAAACTTTCTCCCACCTTAATAACAAATCAAAACAAAACTCCCACTTGACCACACATACCTTGCCAATATCCAGTTCATTTGCCTGCTCCCCTTTCCAACAAAGTCCCCAGAAGGAGTTGTCTTTGCTTATTACTTCCAATCGCTCTCTTCCTTTTCACCCTTCAACCTAATCGATTCAGGTCATGCAGACTTCTGCCTTTTACAACTGCAAGAAGTGAAGACCTCTTAGCAAAGCCATGGATGGCCACCATGTTGCTAAGTCAGTAGGCAGGACCTGTCCTCATTTCACTTGGCCAACAGCAGAATTTGAAACATTTGCTCAGGCCCGTCCCCCTTTCTTGACTTGGCGTGCAGGATACCAGATCTTAGCCCGCTATCTTACTGACCACCTCATCTCAGTCTCCTTTGTTGTGTCTTCATGTCTCCAAATGTTAATGTTGGAGTGACACAGGGCATAGTCCTCAGACCTCTTCTCTATTTACAATCACTTTCTGGGTAAGATCATACAGTTTCATTAATTTTAAATATCCATTGACAACGTCCATATTTTTGTCTCCACTTGGACCTTTCAAACTCCAGACTAGTATAACACCCTCCACTTGAATGTGAAGTACATGTCTCAGATGTATTGTGACTCCAACCAAACCAGTACTCTTCCTGCAAAACTTACTTCTCCCATGGTCTTCCTCATCTCAGTAAACAGCAACTCCTTTCCTAGCGTTGCTCAGGCCGAAAATCTGAGGTTATTCTCGTTGATTACTCTCTTACCCTCACATTCCATTCCTAATCATTCAGGAAATCCTGTTGGCTCTTCCCTCAAAATATAGCCAGACTCTAATAATTTCTCACCATGTGCACCACCGCCTCCCTGTCTCCACAGTTATCAACCCCATTCAGTCCACCATCACTTTCTGTCCTGGGTTACTGGAACAGTCCCAGAACTGGTCTTGCTGCTTCCACCATTGTCCGCCAACTGCACTCAGCCTAGAGGCCCGAGTGATCCATTTACAGAATCTGTCAGATAAGGTCACTCCTCCACAGCCCTCCCAGGCCTCCCCATCACTCGGAGAAGCAGCCGCAGTCCTCACAATGGCCTGCAAGGGGTCCAGGTTCTGGCTTCTCCTTCCACTTAGACTTCACCTGCTGCCGCTCCCTCCCTTACTCAACTCACAGGAGCCACAGGGCCTTCCTGCTGTCCTCCAGATTGCCAGCCATGCGCTTGTTGTATGTCGTCGCATTTGCCATTTCTTCTGATGAGGACCATTTACCCCAAACTATCAGCACGGCTCACTCCCTTTTTCTTTCTGATGGATCTTTGCTCACACGTCACTTCTTAGTGAGCCCTTCCCAACCACTCTATTAAAACTCATATTCCATTCTCCCCAGCCTGCTGCTTCTTTCTCTTTTATCTTTCGCCAGAGCTCTTATCACCACATAGCAGATTATATATTTAATTGATGAATGTATTTATTGTGGGTCCTCACCCACTAAAACATAAACTCCCATAGGGCAGATATTTCTTGTCTATTTTTCTGTACCATCGTGTGCCTACTCCTAAGGGAGTGCCTGGCCCACAGGAAGCGTTCAATAAACATTCGCTGTTGGAGACTTCCAGTTTTATGTTTCTGGGCTTTGGTTTGAAACAGTCTTTTATCGGAAGGTGAGCTGATTTCCAGCCCCTGAGAACCAGGAGATTAAGAGCTCGTCATGGGGAGAGACAAGCTATGTATGAACTCAGCTATTTCAGGCCCTCCGTTTCCCTGGCCTCAGCTTCCTAGACGGGATCTCTACACTCCTCCCACCTCCTGCCTTCCATCCAGTGCCTGCTAATAACATCCACTGCATATGGTGCAAGGGGCACACACTTGCATTTTTGGAGCCTGAATACCTGAATCCTCAGCCTGATGCCAGCCCGAGGAGCTAAGAGACTTATTATTAAGAAATAGCATCTTTATACTTAAAATGGAGATTTATAAACAAATGATAATAAGAAAAATCTCACTGAAAAGAATACAAATGACTTTTGTACATGGGAAAAATGTGCTACATCACTACAAATGAAATAAATGCAAAACAATATTGATACCGTTTTTTCCCTACTAAACAACAAATTACAAAGCACTCAGCGCTATGAAGGATGTGGGGTGCTGGCTGCTGGTTGAGGGAAGATTATTTCATACAACTCTTATACTTGATTCATAACTTCCCACACAGTAATTCCAGTTGTGAGCAAAAATAATCTGAGTGCACATACAGATTTAAGCATGAAGATATCCATTGTCATGTTATACTGAAATGATAGAAAAACGGTGACCAAAACTTTTTTTTAAAGTGTTAAGCTAATTATGGTTTGTTCACAGACTAGAGTATATCATAAACCTATGTAATGTTTCCTATTACATAGGGAAATGCTTATTATATCTTATTAAGGGAAAATATTCTTATTGAAAGGTGTGGGGTATTAAAATGCTAAACATGAATAACTCAAGGATGTTTAAGAAAGAGAG